GTCAGTTTGTGAAATTGGTTGAAATTTCAGGCTGAACTATGTGAGGTTTCTATGTAACACACTTCTGTTATTCTTTTATTCATCGTTAGGTGTTTCATATTTCTTAAAGGATAGGTGATTGTGAAATAAATACAGTTTCGACTTTGAACAACATCCCTCTTAGTTCGATGCAACATTTTTTAAAAAGTTACCCATGCAGACTGTTATCAATGAAACAAGATTAATTCCTACTATTTTTACAAGTTTACTAAGTTGAGGAGCCTTTGAAAACCTGAGAGAACTTTAAAACTGTTGCGTCCTGGTATAGGAATTCTCAGTGGTGTACAGCCATGAAACCGCTCCACCAGCGATCAAACCCATGGTATTTAGATTCCACAGTAAGTTTGTCGTCATGATACCACTCACTCTCAATCCAATTGCCTACGTTTACTTACTTCTGTGATTTTGCAATACAGTGCGGCCTCTATCCAATGCCGTCAATGAGTACGTCTCTAAATTTCTGAAATAGTTCCACTACCATCATATTGTGGAAAATATCATCTTGAAGCAAGTAGACATAGAGAACTGGATAATAATTTAGTTGACAGGCTTCTTAAAATTTATTTCCAATAATTTTCCGACGAATACCAGTCCGTGTTAAATAATTCGAAATCAATAAATCCTGATAAACTTTTGAATAGAATTACAAATGAGTCTTCAAAAGTGATCTTGAAGACAGCGGCCTTCTTTGGGAACGTCCTTACTTAAATCCTCTCCTCTCTGTGAGGATCAGCACATTCCACCACACGAACAATAAGATGTATCTAGCCTCTTGAAGTAACTGATGTTACGATTTACAACTTCAGATGAATACTCCCCAACAACGCAGAAACAAGATACAACTACTAGCTAATATGACATGTTAAGAGTTATCACTCGTCGAACTGAGCTTTGTCAGTAAACTGATGTGTTAAAAGCCTCTAGAGTAAAGAAAACACAGAATATATCAATACCCTGTGTTCTATTTGTAATGAAAAATCAACTAGTTTAAAGGGAGAAATTAAATCGAAAAACATGCCTAAAATATTTCCGAGTTATCATCTATATCGACAAAAATGATGATGATAATAATGATAATAATAGTTGATGCTTCTATGAATTGTGTGAACAGAAAGCTAATAATTAACTTTCAGAGAATGATAAACACTTGGCTTACTTTGATTTCTGAAAAAGTCACCCACCTCACACATTTCTATTATCATAAGAAAAAGTGAAGTGGCAATTCTTAGATGATAATCTATTTTCAATGAGTTTTTTTATTATTACTGTTAACTGATGCATGGATTGTTTGAATAAATTATATGTTTACGCTTGATATTCGTGTAGCAAGCAAATACAACTCAGAATGTAATCGCTTGGAGAAACAATCAGAAATTTGTGATTAGGACATTTTCAGTTCTGGGCATACATCTTGAATAAGGCGTTGTGATACACACAGAATGTGAATGAATGGTGACATTGCGAAGTGCGGTCACACATCCATTTGTACAGGGTCGTTCAAATGGTTTAGACAAACACAAGTCATCAAACATAGTATTCACTCATAGAACTTCTGCATTGTTGGACAGATTGTGATGGTGATAGTAAGATGGTGACCGGGAAGATTAGCAATTTGATTATTAAGAGTCTGTATCTGTTCTCAACTCGAATAAAGGGAGTCATACAAGACGAAATACGATTGAGTGAACATATCTGTCACTAACACAGCTACAGAATATGAGATTCATGATTGAAATTTGTTTACTTCAGAAGGAAATGATGCAGCTACATCGTTGTGTATACACATTTGGTATGATATGAGGACATAGGAAGCGCCATAAACAGTCATAACATCCATCTATCGTTACACCGAAGGCAAACGATGAAATGGTGTGGGACAAATTCCAAAGATGTTTATGAACTTATCACCATTCTTGTGAAATATGAAGCTTCCAATGTAGCATTGATCTGCATTAATTTCAGACTCTGAACAGTCAAAATACTCAGCCCTGTGAATTACATCGATTGACCTAAAAAGTCGATAAATCCGCCTAGAAATGAGGGTAGGCAATTTTTTCAGTTAGTTTGAGTAAATCTTAGACATTGTGATGGAGCCTGACGCTGCACTGTACAGCTTATTATAAGCAATGCAAGATGAGAGAGTATTGCATAGTAAGCGACGTTTTGACCTAGACCTGTTTTTCTTAGTTTTGGTTTTACTGTTTTCTCTGAGGTACATGGTGTAATTGTGGAGCCTTCATTGTCTTTCTAGACAACATCATCAGCACTGAATTCAATATGAAGTAGGTTATCCGGATTTATCTGTGAGTGATTCAGTAGCTTGTTGTGACCTAATGGGTTGTGATTGGTTGTCTCTCTTGATTGTTGTGTCATTAACTGACTCCATAGACTTTTCTGTTGACTGTTTTTCTAACTGATATCTGATCTTGCAGTTATTCATCATTTTTCGTATTGCATGAAAGATTGTTGATTGACCATAATGACAAGCTTCTAGAAATTATGTGATACTCCTTGTGTTTTCTCTGTCTAGTATCTCTACGTTTTCAACGTTATCCACGTGCATTGAAATGAGTCATGAAATGTCATAATGTTTGATAGCCAACTGGTGTTCATGTAAACGAAGGTGAAGAGGGTGACTACTTTGTCCAGTGTAGTGTTGATCACAACTGTTTCAGTTGATCTTAAAAATGATATTTGGTTTTTCTTTTCCGGTTGTTGAGTTCTTTGGTCTGCTTAGTATGGTTTGAAGAGGATTTGTTGGTTCATGAGGCGCCGCAGCAATTCCAAGTGGTATCAGTAATCTTGTCGTGATATCTGATATAGTCTTTATACACGCTAGGATGATCTGTTCTCTAACTTTCTTAGATGACTGTAGTTGATGATGAACAAGAGAGTCGTCTTCTGATGAAGTTTCGTCAATGACCGTTCTTCTTTGGAGCAGATCTCGAGTAGTTTCCTTCATCCGTCCATGAAGCTGATGTATTGCAGTGTGTTCTCACTCTTTTGAATTGGGTCTGTAGGAAACTATTTCTGAATGTTGTTGAGTTGTTTGCTACTATGGTTGCGGATTTGATCAAGGTGTACTGACTTTCTGTACATTTGAGTTTCCAATTCTCTGGCACTAGTTCTGCTAACAGATATATCCAAAAATGTCACCCGGCTGTTCGATTATCTCCTTATTGTGAATTTGATGTCGTTGAAAACTTTTTTCATCAAACTTTAAGTGTTTTCCAATCCTTCCTTCCTAATGGGGACAAAGTGTCGTTGTTATAACGCATTCAAAAGTTCTCTTTTAACTAGGGTAAAATGATGGTTTCTGGGCTCTATTACTGCTTCCATAATCAATTTAGATGTCGATAATCCCATAAAAGTTCGTTGTATCCTTCTGTATATTTTACCATTAAATTGGAAGTGTGTTTTTAAACAAAGATCTGTGAGTCCCATGAAACTTGAACATTGAACATTGAAGACTTATGGTGTCAGTGAGGAGTATAGACATAGTGTCCTTAGCCAAATGTGGCTCAGTTGATATGTATCACACTGTGACGTTGAAGGATAACACAAATTCTTCATTTTAGATATTAGTGCCTTTGAAACTTTCCAAGAATGTTGCCCATGATGTAATGGAATGTCTGCACAACTCCACAAACTATTTCAGTGACCTAGAAAGCTATCATATTAAAGATTCTTATTTAACTTTTAACTTAGCCTTATTAACGTTAGTGATGACTAAAAGTCTTTCAGCAAACAACAATCTTAGTTTCAGTTGATTATATGAGATAGTCGTGGTCTGGAAAATTTTTATTATTGGATACTGGATGATAACTGAACATGGAATGAAAACCTAGCTCACGAATGAATTCCAACTGCAGATGGGTCTAGTAGTTAATTTGGTAGAGTATTGTCCCAGAAACGCATAGGTTGCTAAATCAAATCGTGCCATGGCTCAGATTTTGACTTCATCTCTAATCATCACTCAATATCAATAATACAAGCCTATCAAACCACGACTTTCTCATATCTTCAAACTGATAATGATAATTTTACTTGGTACCTTACATTTCAAAGATTAGATACATTTTAGAAATATGGAAAGGCGTAACAGAACCGTTTTTCACTTTGATATTCTCTTCAGACTGACAGCAGTTAGGGAAGCATTCTTTATTTGGAAGCACTGGTCAGCTGTCTCATCCCACTATGAGACTTCGCAGCAGTGGACGCCCATGACCTTGCCGGATATCAAACCCAGAACTTTCAAGTTCCATGGCAGATGCATTCCCACTGAGCCACTCAGCCAGAGTTCAATGGTCCGCATTTCCTGATCATACAGTACGGGAATATGCTGAAACGATTAGAAAGGAAAATATGTCCAAGTGGAAGACGTTGAATAACTTTCTAACAATGCTTCTGATGATTCTTCACAGCAGGAAAGTAATGTACCTGATATCATTCAAGTTGTTATTCATCGTAGACTGACATCAGTTGGAGGAATAAAGGAAACCTGAGAGCACTCGACAGCTGTTTCGTCCGACTAGTGTGGGACTCCCCAGCAGTGAGCAACCAAGACCCCGCACCACCAGGGATCAAACCCACGACCTCCAGGTCCCGCGGCCAGCGCGTTACCATTGAGCTAACAAAAGTTGGAAATATGGAGCATTGGATTCAACCGACACAATGGCTCAATGGTAACGCGCTGGCCGCGGGACCTGGAGGTCGTGGGTTTGATCCCTGGTGGTGCGGGGTCTTGGATGCTCACTGCTGAGGAGTCCCACACTAGTCGGACGAAACAGCTGTCGAGTGCTCCCAGGTTTCCTTTGTTCCTCTAACTGATGTCAGTCTACGATGAATAACAACTTGAAATATTTCCAAATCTCCACAACTCCCTCAAAATATCATTCATTCAGATCAACTACTATTTAACTACTGAAAGCAGTGAGATATCTCATTGTCAAATAACTTACCAGTGTGGTTGTATTCAGTATGGCTAAGCAGATCCATGAGGTAGCACGTAGAAGAATGGCGATCATTAAATGCGTATGAATGTTGTTACGAATACACCTCAATGAACTGTGTAAAATAAGGGAAACAGGAAAATGCGTTTTAGCAGTAATAATATGGTCTTAATAGTGGTTACATAAGAATAGTAATTTTGAAAGTATTTTATTGTAAAACTTAGCTGACTAGTTAGCAGTAAATGACCTACTTTCAGTTGATCTTTCATTTTGGTACCTCTAAGTTTATTTTAACAGTGACCGGTATAATTGTAAAGTTTAATTTGGCAATAAGTCGAGTGAAACGACAATATGGTTCGTTATCAGTCAAGACGGAAGTTCTGACTCACTTAGATTTCTTGATTGTCCACAATCGCTACTCAAGTTATTTTTACAGTCTTGAAGCAATTCGTCAGTCTCTCCTTATTTCAAAGATTTTACGACCAGATTATTCGTGGATCTAAACTTATCATCTGAATTACCTAAAATACTTTATTTGTTGCAGATTTCTGAATAACACACTGGTTATCATCATTATTAAAGGGGTTAAATTCCTCAGTCAACCATACACTTCTTCCTATCTAGTTAATTAAAATGAAAATGTGTCTGTGTTCACATGAGTAAAGGATTTCCCAATGAAGTCACTTGTTTTTCAATATATAATTAATGCACTGTACACTATGATAAAGAATATTCGTAGCTCAGCTGAATGAACTTGTTTACATTGTATTTTGAGAGAATTGTGGAGATTCGGAAATATTTCAAGTTGTTATTCATCGTAGACTGACATCAGTTGGGGGAACAAAGGAAACCTGGGAGCACTCGACAGCTGTTTCGTCCAACTAGTATGGGATTCCTCAGCAGTGGGCAACCACGACCCCGCACCACCAGGGATCGAACCCACGACCTCCAGGTTCCGCGGTTAGCGCGTTACCATTGAACCACTAAGTCGGTTGAATCCAATGCTCCATATTTCTAACTTTTGTTAGCTCATGATATAGCGCAACCGCCAACCAATATCATCGTTGAGTAACTGTCCTCACGACCATCATGCTTTGACTCCACCGGCCATGACTTCTCATTGGAACTTCGGGAATACTTCCCGAAGCTAGTTACTAATGAGCACTAGTTGTGAGCTAACAGAAGTTAGAAATATGGAGCATTAAATTCAACCGACTTAGTGGCTCAATGGTAACGCGCTGGCCGCGGAACCTAGAGGTCGTGGGTTCGATCCCTGGTGGTGCGGGGTCGTGGTTGCCCACTGCTGGGGAATCCCACACTAGTCGGAAGAAACAGCTGTCCAGTGCTCCCAGGTTTCCTTTGTTCCTCTAACTGATGTCAGTCTACGATGCATAATAACTTGTTTAAATTGTATTCTCTGAGCTGAGTGGTTTAATGACGAAGTTTTCAATATCATCAGCACTAACTTCACTATTGAAGTGTACTAAAAGGGTGTACAAGTGGGGAACCACATTGAGAAGTGATATTGTTATAATCAGAATAAATTCATGATCATCTAATACAATTAAAGTTGATTTTTTATATCGTTTTTGTTCAACATAAGAAATATTTCTGATCATACATTGATTGGTTATTCACATCATCAGTTCGAGAACGCAGTTAGCAACATCTGATCATATAGAAAGAAAGTCGAATAAACTTGAAATATTTCCCATGCATTTTACTCCTATTCTAACACTTTTCTCCTCTATGCATCTGATTTTCTTGACAAATGAAGCAATAAGATACATATTTGGTGAATAAAATGATTTCTGTGTATCTTATGCACCTTCATCAGCTGTGCACACTTTAAAAATACAGTGGTTATCTGAATGAAATTACATGTTCATATACCCTACCTATAAAATAATGAATAACAGTGAACAGAGTAATGTAAAATTAGAGAGTTCAAAACATTTAAAAGGGAAAACAATAAGTTGTACATCAAAATCATTCGTAACTCAAATGTACTGAAATAAAGCGTTTAAAATGTTGAAATGGAAGAAAATGAAAATCTAATATTAGCTAACAGATCACGTAAAACGTAGAGAGATGATGTGTCTATGATATTGAAATCAACTTAGTGTACTGAAATCAATGAGCTGTTTAAGTCTACTAATTAGAATTGTCACATATTGAAGCGATAGAGTATCATTTACTGGATAACTTTTCAGACATAATTTATTATCCACAGTCATGTCAGGTAACTCTATAACTTTGAAAAAGTTATAATTTCCTCTTCTTCTTTGCAATGAATAGGGTAGTAGAATTTTGCATATATCTGGGACAGATGCAGAATCATTTTTACTGTATCTATTCGATATTGGTTCGATAAACAAAGTTTCTGTGATCAATCTCTCCTTCCTTCCACCCAAGTAACTTAGTTTTCAACACTGTCTCACTATCCCACCCTACTGTGTGATTTTGTATGTAATTGCGTGCAATGCTATAGCCCAACTTTTCTTCTAATTTCTCATCTTTTTAGGATCCACTCATCTTGATTTAGTTAGGTTTTCGCTATGTTTTATTCTAATCTATCCTTGTCGAGTACTTTAACCTGTGCATTTGATCTCACAATCACTGCAAGGGATTTAGTAAACCAGGTGATTTTGCTTAATGAATTGAATGAAGCCAGAAGATATCATTCTTAAAGTAGAAATGGCGTCAAGTTCAGTAGATAAGACAGTTGCAAATGTGGTAACTGCATAGTGTGTTCTAACAGTGAAACCACAGAAGAAAAGGAAATCTTACTTATCCATGCCAGAAAGAGATGCTGTCATGAACTTTCAAAATGATAACAGTACATTGATCGCCAAATCGGATAAAGGCAACTTAACAGTTATAATGATCAAATTTGACATCTCCGAAGTGAATGAGCTTATAGAATCAGGACCAATATGAGGAAATAAGAAACCAATGGATACCACTATGAATAAGATTAAGAAATCCACAAGGGATCTGATCCGCCAACTGAAATCATTCCCAGATGAGTCAAATCGGTTTAATTTGTTGCCGAATACTTGTAATACCAAAGGCATACTCAACGTAATTTAGGTATTGTTGTTGCGGGAAACTGGAACGGTAGTCGTTACATGTGGTACACCTTGCACTAATCCAGTCATTTGTAAATATGCTTCGTTCCCCTTCCGTTCCTCTCTTGATTTGCTCTTGATCTGCCCTTCATACATTCTTATCAGCAGCATCCACTGTAATACACCTGTGTTATCACTTGTATTGCTCTTGGCAGAGATCTTACCCGTTGCCGGTAACTCCCTATGACTCCCTCTACCCTCTCAACATATACTACTTAAATTCATTGTTATCAGCACCACGCCCACTACACCAGCAAAATGTATGGTACTGTTAAGATTCACAAACCAGTTTATTCCATCACTCCTATAACAGATTTTAGAAATACTCCAACTTACTAGTTGTCTAAATATTTATCACCGATATTATACCTGATAAGAAGTTACTCAAAATCCTGACTTACAAACTCTTATGATTTAAAGCATAGATTGGAAGACATACATATAGATGACAATGCAAAAATGGTTAGTTTTGACATAACTAGCCTTTACACAAATATACTGATCGACATGGCTCTAGAGGCAATTAGAAATGCGCTTAAGGAAGACAATCAGCTTACACATCGAACTAAGATACCGGTCGAGAAAATCATGCTAACAGTACGATTGTGCCTGACATCTACAGCTTTTAAGCTTCAAAATAAAACACATATAAAAAAGTAGATGGGTTTGCCATGAGATCACCAATATTCCCTACCGTAGCAAACATACTTGTGGATAGTTGGGAACGTAAGGCTCTTCTAAAATTTAGTCCTATTCCAAAGATATGGTTCACATATGTAGATGGTACATTTGCAGTACTGAAATCAGAACACATCAATAGGTTATTGGCACATATAAGTTCATTACTGTATGCGGTTCAACCTATCTGTGATTGAGAAAGTGATGAACGTGGGCTGACAATGCTAGATTGCAATTCTTAACGTAAACAAGACGGAAGTTTAGAGACTGGTGTCCATAGAAAAACTTCTCATTCGAATCGCTACTTAGATTTCAAATCCTCCCACACTATCTCACTTAAAGTAGGCTTAGTTAGATGCCTAAGGGATAAGGTGGAAGGGCTTATTAGTAGACCAGAAAATCCACGACAAGAAATTAAACAAATCAAGAATACTCTGAGTCTCATCAATTACCCACCTGAATTTATAAATAAATTCATAAGAAACTGAAAAAAATATCAGTGGTACTAGTAGTAGTAGTAATACAGGTGTTAGTAATACTAATTCTACTACCAGTAGTTATAACGGTGACAAGGTTGAGACAGAATTCAAAGCCTCCGCTGTGTTGCCATACAAGAAAGTTACCTCAAAAGAATTAAGAACAATTCTCAGTTAGTTATTATTATTTGTCCCTTGGGTTCGTAGTGGAAAATAGGGCCTCAGTAGCTCGTCCCCATCTCCACACAAGCCTCCATTTATTCCTCACACTATCTCATCCATGTCACCCTCACCACGGACACCAAACTCATCCTTCCTCATTCGCCTTCCACTCGACAACCTGACCTGGCCTGGCCTGGCCGGATGCAAGATGTCCACAAACCGTCGCCTCAGTCTATGCCCAATCCAATCCATCTCCACTTTCTTCTTCTACATACTTGTTGAACGGTAGGTCCTTACTTCGCTGGTTCGTTGGCAGCCAGATTGAGTTCCTTGTTGCTTATTCTTATTATTCTGGCCATCTGATCTTCATCTTCAGTATCGAGAGAGCGTAGTTGGCAGCTGTTCATGTATGATATCTGTAATTTGTTGGAAATGCTTTTCGTAACGCCTCAAGTCTCAATCATCACATAGAAGCACTGTCTTGACTGACATTAGTAGTGTTGAAAATCCAGATCTTGTTCACGCTTTATACTGAGTAGGGTAGATCTGCACACTGATTTCAGATTAATGGAAGCCTGTCTTGCTGTCTTTCCGATTCTGGCTTTGACGTCGTCATCTGTTCCTGTGATGCCTGTAGTTGAGACGATGCTGTCTAGGTAGGTAGGTAG